CCGTTGTGAGATTATTCATGAGATTGCGAACAGGAGTCGATAAAAGTCGAACAGGAAAAACATTTAACTGTTGTGTAAAAAAAACTTCGGTCTATCCGTGAGAAGGAAAAAAACATTTTGCCATATGGCAATATCGAGATATGAACTTGTACTCGAAAGGTGAACGGCCTTGCATTGGAAGTATGTTCAAACATATTCTCAGCTGATCTTTTCTATACCGGCAGCGACCGAACATCACGGCCGACTGGTTAGGACTTTTTCGTATTCGGGACGTTCCGGGCTTCATATCTTGGCCCGGACACCAACTGTAGCGAATGAGGTGTTTCGTGGCTTTCGTCTGTCCCTCCAGGCAAATACCATAATGGTACCACGACCACTTCCATCACTGACCATTAACTATCCTGTCATTCGACACTTTTCATCTGAGCTATAGACAGCGTCGATAAACGAAACGTAAACAAAATATAATAGCTACATAACCTTTTCATTAAAATGGCAAGCTGTCCTTTGAGGCGCCATTAGGAGTGGCTTCCTGTTCTCATCTCAACAGAACATCCATCCTCGGACTGTAATAGTACGTCAAAATGTCAAAATCTGATATAGCAACACCGCCAACACTTGTAGAACTGAAGAAACAAAGCAAAGACTTAGCTTAGATTGTTAGTAGCGTTGCTATTATTATACCCAATTTTCGTTCTCCTGTTGAGTTGAATAGCAGTTTGGGATTTCTTCTGTAAAGTTCACAGTTCAACAGCGACGAGAAAGGAATATATCACTGAAGATTTCTGTCTTCTGGGTTGTGGAGCCGTGTAGTCTGGTAACATCTACCAGTCTACACGGCTCAACAATCCAGAAGACAGAAATTTTCATACTCACGGCTGTGAAAACCTCAAATCATACACAGAAGATATCACTATTTCTGGAACATTCTGTACCTGCGTGACCTTCTGCATAGCGGCAGGCGGGGGTTCAACAAGTCGGTACATCACGTTCATATCTCTGTGGCTTGCGGCGAGTCCACTTTTAGGGTGGGAATCATCTCTGCGACACTGTCATCATCCTCATTGTCATCATCGCAGTCCTGCAGTTGAAAGTGAATACAGACTCAGCGTAGGTTAATAGCCTGTTTATTCCAATTATAGTTACGTTCACGTTCGAGCAGTCCCGTTTTCGGGAATAGGGTTTTAAAATAAGAACAAACTTGCAACTAAATGCGATCGAAATTTCGGTCCGAAAACGAGAAGGGAGGAGGCTATATTCATCTGACTCTGGGCAGGATGCGGTGGTGGGTTTTTTGGAACACGGCAGTGGACCTTCGGATTCGGAAAAGTTCTTAACGAAGTGAGCGAATAGTAGCTTCTCATCAACGTCTCTGCTCGATGGAGCATATCAACTATTATATCTTATATTGACTGTAATAAGGGAAATAATGCATTTTAGAAAGTACACTACAATGGTAGATTACACGCCATGTAGTCTACCAGACTGAATGGCCTAACAACCCAGAAGACAGCTTTCTCGATTAATTCTTCAATCGGTGATTATAATCACCGATTGAAGAATTATTTTATGGATCATATTAGGCCTTATCTGCTAAGTAACACTGCATTAGGCCTACTTCATTAATTTTCTATTGAAGTAAAATCACACCTGGCCCTATGACGGACGTCAGTCAGTAAAATGTCTTCGGAATAGCTGACTGGAATTCGATTCCCGCCAGAAACAAGGACATTTAACTTCACTGTCTCCGGAATGGCTTTACGGCCCACGCAACCTCCTACAGGTTAGTGTTTACAGCAACTCTTTCTGCGAAATAAGATGGACGGAGCGAGAAGGTGATTATTCGCCTGCATCAAATTCAGAAATCTAGAATGCGTGGAGTCTCAATCTGCGAACTCTACACATCTAAATGGCGGAGGATATATATTCTAGTGTAAATTAGAACTGTGTACCTCCATGATGCGATTCAGACAATACTGCTGCAGCCTACCAAATCTCACAATCATTATAAACCTGTTTTATTGTATTTAACGACGCTTTCTCAACGGTGTAAATTGTGAAATGGTGAACTTATTTTTAAGTTGTGGGAGGAAGTGGTCATGGCCCATGTTAAAGGGCTGCTCCACGTGCTGAGAAAACTCTCAAAATAACCTGACCCTGGAAGACTGAAAACCGTTACTTCCCTGATGCGAGCCAGGCGCACTAACCTCTTTTCCATTCCGCTGGGTCATTGTTTCTGAATTAAACATGACATTGTGGTTTATTACATAAGAAAATGTTACGTAACAGACCCAAACACTAATTTCTACTGTGTAAATGACTATCCGAATCATGATATAAAATCCTGTTCTGCCCACGAACCTTTTGTAATGGGTACACGAAGGCTTCAGCCATAATGAGGAGGATTCATTACAGTATGGATCGAGTAATTGCAGAAACTCGTGTTCCCATGGCATTGACCTTCCGGGTTCAAAGGCGCTCGATGTGATTGCCTCTCCCCCCCCCCCCCACTCTTTGCCAGACTGTCAATTGTCTTATGAAGGTATATGTTAAGAGGAAACACAAAGCCACCTCCCTCAGAGGTCAAGGTTTTACTTAAGCGTTGGCTCTGTTCTGGGGAAAAGAACCTATTTATTTATTTTTTAGAAATATAAAAAAGCGCAGTTAATGCCCAATAAAAATATTTATTCGGTAACTTCCCATCACAGGATGATGGTGAACAGTGACCTAACTTAATTTATAGAGATATCAAAATATATTATAAAGTTATGACGGAGGACAGACATACAATCACAATAATAAGTACCATGAGCCAGTAATTCCATACAAGGTAGGCTAAATAACATATTTCACTCTGAAGATGGCTGTCTTCTATGATGTTACACTGTGTAGCCTGGTTGAAATTTACACTCAGTTCTCACATATTTTACTTAATTTTAGAATAAAGAAATTGGAGCTGGGTGAATATGTTATGCTTTAGGTCAGATCCGTGGGTCATATGCAGCCTTCTTTGATATTCCATGTCGCCCACTCAGTTCTCAAATTATATGCAATGTTCGAAAATGTTCAAGTTTTAATGAATTTCAAGTTTCAGCTGCATGTGAAATAAATATTTTCGTAATACTGTTCCCTCCACGTGATACCACTCAACAAGTCACCTCTTTTCAAGTGGCACTTAATAGATATTGATCTCTACATGCCTGCTTTGTGTAACATGTTCAGAGCCACTGAAATATATTCCATCTTTACAGTGAATTAGAGCTTTGTTAAACATTCGGCATAAAACATTGCATCGTAAAATTAAAAGTACTTTGCAATATCTGTACAACATATAAGTTCAGAAACACTACAGCCACATTTATACCTCCTTATATATAAAAGTTTGTGAGCCAGATAATACAATATAATGGCTGGCTACGGGCTGGGTGATTGGGGTACGATCCCCGACAGAGGTAGAGGATTTCTGCATTCAAACCGGCTCTGGGGACCACCCAGCTTTCGGGGTCCTTTCTCGGGGGTAAAGTGCGGCCGGGCCGTGCTGCTAACCGCTCATCCTCTTCTAGTGCCGAAATTGAGAATGAGTCGGACCTATACCTCCTCTCCCCTAAGTGCCAACATTGGCATGTAATGGGAAGGCTTTTTATATATAAAAGTTTAAAAAATGCAATACATTCCTAAGACACAACTTGTAGGCAAAGTTAGATCTACAACCACACGTAGTCTACTGTGCCATTAATATGATAAACACAATGCTATTGCTGTAGGTCACAAGTACTTTTTATAGTACAAGAACGAACAGCGACAAGTAGTGCTATTTTATTATTATTGAAAATATGAGGATGTTGTTTTATAAGAGTTTTGTGTAATATTTTATCAATATCTCTTATTTTTAGAACTTACAAGAACAACATGAAGCAGTTTGTTGGTCATCTGCTAGTATTTTGGGTGTGGATGCACAGAATTCTCTACACACAAGTTTCCCGTTGGGAGGAATACCACCATCTGACTAGCCTCGGAGCTGCCAACATAGTAAGTACCATCAGAGATACAAAATATATTTTTTAGAAAGCTTGAGACATTAACATTTATCGTTCAGCAGTAGTGGGTTTTCTCCCTTGCTATGGGGCTACAAGTAAAAATAAAGCCGTCCCGCTACACGCCATGTAGGTGCTTGGGGGGAGTGGAGGTATAGCTCCTACTCATTCCTGATCTCGGCACTAGATGGGGGTGAGTGGTCAGCGTCACGTCCCGGCCGTGCTTTACCCCCGGGAAAGGACAGGAGGCTGGTTGGGCCGCAGGGCCTGTCTGGACGCAGCGGCTAGAGGAAACATCCTCTGCCCCCGTCGGGGATCGAACCCCAGTCATCGAGCCCGTAACTGATCACTATAATGAGTAGCTCTCCCGGCTCCCACTATAGCGCTGCAGGCCAGATTTTAATTCTGAGGTGGTTTAATTGTAGTGGTGTGCTACTGTGAAAGAAACAACCAACTGGCCCGTTTCTAATGTACAGCCAATGATAGTTAATGTGGAAATCACAATGGATTGATTGTACTATACATACGAAATTTATGCAACAGAAATATTATAAAGTAAACTAGTGTGAGGTTTATATTTTATGGTTTATTTGATGACACGGTCATAGTTCATACTGTACAGCACAAATATGTTGAATAAGCAGTTGTGGAGAGCTGACAATGGGTCGTACTGCAGCCTGGAGGTTTGATGGTAGGTCAACAACTCACCATGAAATGTGTGTCAAAAATGTTACTCGCAGGACATTTTAATATTTTATTCAAATCACAGTCACATTGTTCACAAGCCAGCCATTTATCAGGAAAAGAAAGCAATACTACCACGTTTTCTTCAGATACTAATTATACAGGTTGTCCCGCAACAGGATGTCCATAGCCTAACTACGTGCTCTTGGGATAATTTTGAGCCGAAACGTTCAAATAAACATGGGTCCGATCTGCAACAGTTTGTCACGAAAATGCTATGGTTGAGAAATTATTTCACTAACTGCGCACATGGCGCACGTAGGTAAGACACAGCGCTTGAAGACCGCTTGTCATCTCAGCGCTACTTACGTTTCCTACAAGAAGAGCTGCCGTTGATGTTGGAAGAAGTTCCTGTGCTAACCAGGTAAGAAATTTGGCTGCAGGAAGACCGCACACCTTCACATTTTGGTAGGCAGGTGACTGCATTTCTGAATAAACAGTTTCCAGACCGTTGGATTGGCCGAGGTGGTCCATTTGCTTGGCCAGCGATATCACCAGATCTTTTGCCTTTGGACTACTTTCTCTGGGTCACATAAAATACCTGGTATATGTCATCAAGTCAAACAATAGGGCTGAGCTGCAGAATTGAATAATGGACTCCGGTGATAACGTCAAAAATGATCATGATTCTTTAAATGCACGAAGGGCTCAACTGCCATTTCGAGTCACGTAAATAACGTGAGTAATTGCAAATTCAATTTAGAGTGTAGTCTAATATTAATAATAATAATAATAATAATAGTAATGACTACAACATAACCTAAAATTAAATGGAAATAATGTAAAAGCTGCAGATGCAATAAAATTCTCATTCTTATTTTCTTGACAAACCGCTGCAGATCGGAACCCATGTTTATTTGATCTTTTCGACTAAAATTGATCCCCGAGAGCACGCAGTTAAGCTGTGGACATCCTTTTGCAGGGCAATCTGTATCTGTAAGTTTATACAGAAGCAGATTTTTTAATTTGGCAAAACTTATGATCAATCATGCCATAGGTTAGGTGGTAAGTCACCAATTTCTGACTGTGGGGGCCCAGGGCAGTCAATGTCGGATATGTGGTAGGAAATATGTCACTGGGTAGGTTGTTCTCTGAATATTTCTGTTTTCCTGTGTCAGTATATTGTACAAACACTGTTGCCTTCACAAGAAAAACTCACATCTACAAGAAATTTTATGGGATTTAAAATGTTTTCTGACACTTTAGTTATGATCTTAACTACTAGATAGCATGTGAACCTCATTTTATCAGTTTTGAGGATTTACAAATTTTGTTACAATTAAAATCTTATTGTGTTTGTACACCATAATTCATGAACTACTGATATCTACAAATCTACAGTACACACTGTTCAGTATAAAAAGTATATAGATTATAAATTTTCTATATTTATGCCTCTTACTATTATTTAAGATTTAAAGCTTCCACCACAAATAGATTTTATGCGATACATGTGCACTACTAGTTGATTCTTCTTCATTTTCCGGTTTAATAATATTTGTACATTATCCGGTACCCTTTACGGGTCCCCAACTTTTCAGTTGGCTTGATCTATGGACATTCGGTAGGACTCCTTGGATGAGGGATCGGCTCGTCACAAGGCCTCTACCTGTACACTGGACAACACAACACAGAAAAACATCCATGGCTTGAGTGGGATTTGAACTCACAGTCCCTGCAACAAAGCAGCACAAGAACCACGCCTTAGACCGCGCGGCCACTGCGGACCCCTACTAGTTGATTATATACTCTATTTTCAGATACAAGCAAATATCAACTTAAAATAAAATATGGCCAACAGCCAGCAAAATTATCTAATTACTTATCAGTTGTGCAGAGTCCTTGTCTTCAAAATCACTACAATATGTTGTGGACCTTATCTTCCAGTAAAATTTTCCTCCATTCTTCACGGTCCTTAGTCACTGTATGTCAGCTCTTCAACCTCAGATGGCTGTCTTGTGTGTTATATTGCCATTCCTTCTATCTTTCATTTTAGTTATCATTATGTTTTTAGGCATTCTTTCATTATTCAACCAGTCAAGATGACCACATCATCTCAATCTGAAAGATTTTATATATGTTTTGATATCTGCCCCTTCTAATATACCCGCCATTTCCATATTAGTTCTTATTCTCCAATTTTCTCCTTCATTTATGGGTTTATAGACTTTTTTAATAATCTTTATTTTATATATTCGAAGGATCTAAATTTCTTGTGAAGTAATTGTCCAAGTTTCCAACCCATAACTTAGAATAGGTCTTATTAGAGTTTTGTATATTTTTAATATAGTGTTTTGGGGAAAACGTTTAGTGCGTACATAATATGCATGGTTTGCTGTCATAATTTTAAAATGAATGTCTTTCCACATTTTATTTTGATTGTGTATAACTAATTCCAAATATTAGTTTTCTCTTCATTAATTTATAGTCCCATTTTTCTTCTCTCAGTTTCCAATGCAGGTAATAATTATTTTAATTCTAGAATATTTCTTGCAACCATGACAAAATCATCAGCATAAGCACAAATTTGTTTGTATTTGTGAACAATATTTTCTTTTTCTGCAGTTACTTTTAAGACAATATTTAGTGCCACATTAAATAGTGCTGCTGATAGTGCATCTCCCTGTCTTACTACTGTTAATATATTGAAAGGTCTACTACTGTTATTTGTTATAAGCGCTTTTAGTGTAGTATCATTTAGTGTTATTTTTATTAGCCTTATTATTTTTAATGGTTTACCATTTGATTCTAAAGCTATATATAATTAATTTCCATATAGGCTATCAAATGCTTACCTGAAATCAATAAAAAACATGTTCACGTCTATATTGTACTATTAGCATTTTTCCATTGCTTGCCTCATCACAAATATTTGGTCAATGGTGCTTCTAGTTGGTCAAAATCCACATTGGTTTTTCCCTATTATCTATTTGATGTATACATTAAGTCTTTTAAAAATAATATTTGATAGAATTTTATAAGACACATTTAAGAGGGTAATTCCTCTATAATTATTACATTGTAACTTGTCCTCTTTCTTTAAAGTTAGGTATGTCAAACCTTCCTTCCATTCTTATAGCATTTTTTCTTGGTCCCACATCATAAATATTAATTTGTATATTTTTCCTAATAAGATTTGACCTCCATGTTTTATTAATTGAGCGATAATAGACTCTTCACCTGGAGCTTTATTATTTATTTATTTTAATATTGCATCTTCTTCTGCTCCTGTAGTGGGATATTCAATGAAGGAATGTGCAGTTAGATGTTTAATACTTTCATTATTTCTTTAATCATTTACATCATTCTTATTTAACAGTTCTTCAAAATGCTCTTCCATCTATCTAAGATCTCTTTTTTAATTCCTATTATTTTATCTTGTTTTGATGGTTTAAGATTGATTGCTAAACACGTTTCATCTGTAAAACTGATCTACTATAAAACATTCTGTTCTCATTTTTAGAATTATGTTCTTCATTTGTCTCTAATTGATTTTTATCATTTATTTTTTGTTCTTCTGACATATTTTACTAGCTTTCCTTCAATAATTATTATGTGTTTCAAAATATTACTTTGTTTCATGTTGCAACATTATTGTTCAAGCTTAATTTTTTCTTCAAAGCATCAAAACATTCATTGTCAAACCATTCTACACTTCTTTGTTTCCTTTGTTCTCTAGTAATATAAGTTGAAGTTTGATCGATTGTTTAATTCTATCCCATTCTGTTTCTATGTTTTCATTTTCTTCACTGTCATGGTCCAAATTTGTTTGTAGTTATCATTCCACAAGATTTTGATGTTGTCTGACAGCGTAGTGATGTTCCTGAACCTTCCTTTAAATCTTATTTTACAAATTCTTTCACTAATTGGTTCAAATCATATCAAATGCTTCTTCAATTTCTTATTAATCATAAATCCTGTGCCTAAGTGTCCAGTTGTGTTTTTAGGTCCACTGAAAATTAATGAATAATCTATCTTATTTATTTTTTCTCTGTCTTTCCTTGTAAATTCTTGCAGGGTTACAACACTTATACCAAACTTCATGATTCCTTGTCAAATTTAATGCATTTTCTCAAGTTGGAACATAGTACGAACATTCCATGTAGTAATTTGTATATCTGTTTTCTTCTTCCTAGATCTTTGCCCAAGTTGTAATCCTAAACACATGTCTGGTTGGGATTTCAATTGTACTGCCTTCTCAACAAATTTCATTTTTACAGGATTGGGATGTGAACCCAAAGCCTAACCCCCAACCTGGAGGACCAGGGTGTCTCACTTAGTCTGGAACCTCACTCTTGACCTTTCTGGTTTGGGATATCCTATCAGTATCTATAATATCACTAGCATAGCTCTTGAAAATATTTGAACTTGCAAACTCTACCATCATGACAAGGTGGAGACACATCGAGACAAAAAACTCTCTGATGTTATGAACTGCTGATACAAAGCATTTACTACAGTATATGAAACTGACATTCTGATGCAAAATGTAAAAAAACACTGTTGGTGGAATATCACCTACAAAATATTACAATATTTATACTGGCAATATGAGCCAGGATAGCTCAGTCAGTATAGTGACTGACTATGGGCTGGACTACTGGGGTTCAATCCCTTCTAGGGGCAGAGGATTTTTCCTCTAGCCTATGCGTCCAGACCGGCTCTGGGGTCCACCCAGCCTCCCCTACATTGGGTCACAGGGTAAAGCGTAGCCGGGGCGTGATGCTGACCATTTACCCCCATCTAGTGCCGAGGTCAAGAATGAGTAGGAGCTATACTTCCTTTCCCCTTAAGTGACCTACATGGCATGTAGTAAGATTGCTTTACTTTTACTTTTATATTGGCAATAAAATTAGGACTTTTGAAAGCAGTATTCATTACTAACCCTTTCAATGTCACATAATAATAATTCCATGTTTTATGAAACAGATACGGACCATGCTTGCTTCTTACTTGCAAGTTGCTTGTTAAGCAGAATTCTCCTAAATGAAAACAGATTTTTCTTTATTTCAAAGGAAATAATAGATGTACATTGATCTGAGATAATTAACACATATGTAAAGAACAGTAAAGGGAGTGAAATATATGTAGTATACATACATGCGTAAGTATTTATTGAGTATAACGAACAGTACATATTAAAACAAATACAAGGCATATAGAAACAAAAAAATAAAATAAAAACAAAAACAAAGCAGCATCATTTGACTTCTAGCTGTGATTCACACGCAACGGTAAAAGCGAATGTGGCATAGAGGTGGAAACACACTCAGAGCTTGGCAACTTTCGTCTATAGCAAACATTCACTATATGTTAAAGAAAATCAAGTATATTTACATGAAAATTCATAAAATTAACATTTATAAAATAAGATTTCTACTCAGAGTATTTTACTTGGGTGCTTCATATTTATTTTAAAACATATACTAGAGAAAAATATTACATTTTATGAGTAAATAACTGCTGTGAATAAAAGAATATTAACAAGCAGTCATTTTATTTTCACCATTACACCGTGCAGAAACCTGTTTGGTAAAACATAACAGTAATTTTTTTTTAAAACTGCAGTTACATTGCTTTAAATTTATACTGCAAGAAGTGCACATGCACAAGATTTTAATATAAATATTAGGATTAACAGCTTTAAAATGTTGCATACTAGATATAGCTAATATATAAATACTTCTATATCTAGAAAGCATTTTATCTTTAATGGTTCATTCTCTCTAAAAATAAGGAAGGAAACCACAAAATTTTGTCCACTTTTTAACTTGTAGAATCCAAAGAATCCCTAAAATCTAATAATTACAGAGGATCAAGACAAAATATATTAATAATTGCATTCACAACTATCATGGCATGTTTTCTGGTAATTTATAAGCCTGTGTTAGAAGCAAATTGAAAATAGACATGCACCAATCATAACACATGTTTTAGGCTGTAAGTTATTTTAATTAATCATGATTCATGGACAAATAAGATACACTTTAGAAATCACAGCAAAAATTAATCTTAGGTTTCCCTTTTTTCTGAGGAAGCATTACAATTGAGATTATTGTTAAATAACATTTTTGCAGTAGGATCTAGTTTAGAGTATCAAAAATAAAAAAATGGTGCTCAGTTTAAATATCTGTGATAAGGACGTTTGTGTTAAGTGATACAAACTACTGTCATGTTATAAAACTATCCAACATTATGTACTCCACAGTTACTTCATAGAAACAACTTATTCAGAAACGCAGTTTATTGATTCTCCATGAAATGTATTAAAACACTGAAATGTAATTACAGTCATGAAGTCAACATGTGTTAAGAACTTGTAGATGTGAAAATGGCTGTTTTGTGGGTTGTACTGCCATGTATACTAGTAGATGTTTATCAGCGTTTGAAAGGTACTTGCGACATCATTCATTACAGCAATGATACAGGCAGCAAATACCTTTAAAATTGTCTGTAAACTTCTACCAGACTATATGGTGTTACAACCCATAAGACAGCCATTTTCATACTTGCCAATGAGAGAACCTGAAATCCTTCATATGTTAAAATTTATCTAACACTTTTTGCACATGATCTAGAACATTAGTTACCAATTCATTTCTAAAGGGTTCTGATGTTTATGGCTTAAACTTAAAATATTTTGCTATCTGGTCTTCTTCCATCATCAAGTGATAGAGACTAGATCTTTCTGATGGACCCAACTGAGTAGGTACCTTCCCTCTCACCTGAAGACTGAAACAGATCCAGTTTCTGAAACATTTGGTTTCTTTTAAACAAAGACGATGGAAAAAGTCCAGATAGCAAACAATTTTAAGGAGCTGTCAACCTTCATTTCCTCACTGTGCCTGGTCTGAACCTCTTCCATATATATTATGAAAAAATATCTAATTTTAAGCAAATATTTACTTAACCTCATATTATTAAGTAATATGTATACCTGTTTACAATAATTTGCTGATAGAGTTTTTAACAAACCACCATGAAATTTCACTAAACTGTCATTATTTACAACCCAGTAGCCTTGCTAGTCCGTGAAAAAGGGTGATTGTGGTTTCAGATCTTAATTTGTTGAATTCCTCTAGAGCAATTGCTGCAAGTAAATAAAAGTTTTTGACAGAAATGTAAGTTCTTGTTTGTTTTAAGGGATGCATCCTGTTGCATGTTGAACCTTACATTGACAGTGTGTCTACACAACAGTTTTTTGATTAGTTTCAATGTTGATTAAGATCCACTAAATATTTTGAACATAATTGGTAAAATTTGAAACTATAACCATGACCTCTGAAACGTTGGTAAACATCGACCAGACTACACAGCGCAACAACCCAGAAGACAGAAATCTTCATACTCATCGCCCTGATGATGGAGGCAGTATGACCTCTGAAACGTTGGTTAACATTGACCAGACTACACAGCGCAACAACCCAGAAGACGGAAATCTTCATACTCACCGATGTGAAAACCTCAAATCTTATATAACCAAAAATATTTGTGTAGATGGACTGTCAAACTAACACATATTTTGAGGTCTGTAATATACATCTCAATTATTTTTATTTATTATACTTACAATTCCGTGTAAGTTTGAGACACTCCAGATTTAGGTTAAGAAACACAATAAGAAATCATTTATTAACAATATAAATA